ATATATGAGTTTTAGTTGATATCAGAATACAATTTTTAATTTCATGTGATCTGGAACGGATAGAAATAGATCAGAAAAATATTGGAATTCTATAAATACTGACTGAGAATACAATCCAATGTGTGGCTGTTGTGAAAAAAAGGAAAAATACCTTCATTCAAATCTATAAAACCATCCTCAGTTCTGTCAATTCAGGGGAACATACAACTTGAAATTTACAACAATGAAAGTTTGTAGCTTAAAAAATGAGTGGGTAGAAAGGTTATAACAGAATTTAAATTAGGTGGTGATGTGGAAGAAATTGGATAGAACGTTACATTACTTTTTTATTTTTTTCACATTATGAGAAAATGAATCTGAATCAGAATTATCTGTCAGAGGCAAAGTGCTACGAAGTTTCACTTTTTTCTAAAGGTTATGACACATAGAAAGGGCTGGGACTTGAGATAAGTTAATGCTTTCATCATCCTGACAAAAAGAATGAAAGTTTATAGATGCCACTAGACTGAATGGTGTGGATTTTAGCAAATGAAAAAGAAATATATCTTTGTACAGTACATCTAGTTTCTATCATAAGCTATAAAGATGGCTACCAGTTTAAAAAAAAACAACTAATGGTTATTAATCATCCTGATTAGATTTTTATGCCCTAGATCAAAGGCAGTATGCCTCCCAATGCTAAGTACTAAAGTAGTAAAGCACTATAGTAATGACTACTTGAAAGTTTATTTGGGGGAAATAGTTGCTTCCTGGGGGAAGCAAATATGAGACCTGGTCGATGACTGAAAATAGTCTGGTGTACATGGTGTGAATAGGAATGGCATCTTTTACATCAGAGATACTTGAAACAGTAAAAGTTCTGCTGCAGAATATCTATCTTTTGATATCTATGACAATTGGTTTAACTGGAACTGCCAAAATTCTGTTCCTTTTATTGAGCAGAATGGAGTTCTAAAAATTATGATCAAAGGACTCTATAGGGAAACTAGCTGTCATCTTGATAGAATTATATTAAATCTGGCAACAGCAAAGTATCTTTAAATAGGAAGCCGAATTCAGGTTTCCACACATCCATTTTTCAGAAAGTCAGGGCATGATCTCTGCTGACTTCTAGAGGAGATGTCAAAATTTGCATCTCAGCTGAAATGTTTTGAGAAGGTCGCTGTATTGCATCCCATAGGTATAAACCTCCAATGAGAAGGGGTATTGTTTCCTACATCAAAACCTAGTTCTCTGACAAATGACAGAAGAAACTATCTGAGATTTTTTCTTTCTCACTAAACTGAAATATTGCTAAATTGTTGTGCAATTTACTTGTTTTTTTTTTCTTTTTATAGTAGAACTATTCCAGAGAAATCTGTATTTTGGGCCTCTGTTAGTTTTTATAGTTGTCACTCTAATCACTGTGTTGCTTTATATCTGGAACAGATTATAAAGAAATATAATTGATTCCAGTACTATTTTAACATTAAAAATATAAATATTTTCTTACAGGGGGAAATCAATAGTAACATAGTTTTCCCAATTTTTATTAATAGAAAAGGACTGGAAAAGAGCTGATGTACTTTAGTTCCCATCTTCAAAAAAAAGGGGGGGAAATCCAGGATCCAGGAAACCTATCAGCTTGACCTCAATACCTGGGAAGATTCTGGAAAACATAATCAAGCAATGAATCAACGAACCCCTAGAGACAAAAAAAGTCATTACCAAAAGTCAACATAGGTTTGTCAAAAACAGATCATGCCAGGCAAATCTTATTGCATTCTTTGACCAGGTAACAAAATTAGTGGACCAGAAGAATGCTGTGGATATAATTTACTTGGACTTCAGTAAGATATTTGGTAAAGTAGACCACAATCTACAACTTGATAAGATAGAAAAATGTGGGTTAGATAGCATCACCACCAAATGGATTTGTAGCTGGCTGACCAGCCATACTCAGGGTGTGGTCCTCAATGGAACTGCATCTCCATAGAGGGAAGTGTGTAGTGGTGGGTCCCAGGCTCTGTTCTGGGCCCAATGCTCTTCAACATTTTCATCAATCATTTGGATAAGGGGATAGATAGGGAACTCATCAAATTTGCAGATGACACCAAGCTGGCAGGAATAGCCAACATTCCAAAAGATACAGAAGGATCTTGACAGATTTGAACATTGGGCTGCATTAACAAAGGGATAGAATAAAATCATGTGAAGTGTTAATACCACTTTATATAACACCTTGGTAAGGCCACAGTTGGAATATTGCATCCAGTTTTGATCACCACAATGTAAAAAAGATGTTGAGACTCTAGAAAGAGTATAGAGAAGAGCAACAAAGATGATTAAAGGACTGGAAGCTAAAATATATAAAGAATGGTTGCTGGAATTGGGTATAGGTCAGATCCCCAAAGAAATATATTACTTTTCTAACTAACCTATACATGCTTCTATAACCATGTTTTGGGGCCTCCCATTGCAAGGATATACAATATGCTTTGCTTTGCCCATGTCACACTGCCCTTCCCCCAGGATAAGGAATGCATCGAATACCATCACCCTTATCTGGAAGATGGTTTGTGCTTGGAACCGGAAGGAAACGAAACTGAAAGAAATCTTGATGAGTGCGCCAAAGGAGCCAATTACCAAGACAATATACCTCCTGTGGATTGGCTGAGATTCAAATGGACAGTGGGACCCTGGGGGGAGAAGTAACGAATACTGCTTTTGATATACTGTCTGAAATGGTACAGGTTTTTTTTTTTTTTTGCCTGAACAGAGGGTTGGACTAGAAGACCTCCAAGGTCCCTTCCAACTCCATTATCATTATTATTATTGTAAGCTTCATTATTAGAACACAGCCACTGCTTGTGATGTTGGTGACATTCCACCTTTGTTTTAAGAGGTTCTCAAAAAGTTCTAAACTGGCTAAATCACTTAATCACAATTCCATATAGAATAGAATAATAATTTTATTGTCACTTTGAATACACACTAATTGGCATACAATAAAATGAATTTTTGTTGCCTACTTCATATAACATTATGGGGGAGCTGTTCTGACTAGGATTTTTCCCCCCAGTTCTTCTATTACCTCCATTAAATCTCAACTTAATGATAAATGGCAGGCGAGATATGCCAATCTTTTATATGCATTTCTTTCCCACTAAGGTTCCTATAGCATTAAAAATATGTTTTTCAATATACTATACTTTCAATTGTGATATAATTGTAGCTTATTGACTATGAATTGTAGGGCATCTAAACATGGCAGACCAACTACCTTGGCTTCCTGTTTAGAATTATAAAAATCAGGAGATATTATTTTGTATTTGGCAGACTATGTTGCATTTCTAGATGGCTGTATATGGCTATGAGTGCCTATGTAATATAGTGGTTAAAGTACTGGATTAGGACTCGGAAGATTCATATTCTAGTCTTCACTTAGGTATAGAAGCAATCCATATAATTTTGGGCCAGTAACTCTCCTTCAGCTCTTGATGAGGAAACTGTTAGGTATCTATTAACTTTCACTAGACTAACATGATTGGTTACATTGCAGGCCAAAACCTTCAGTGAAGAAGTATTTATCCTACAATGGTTTGGATGATGATGATAATGATCTTAAGGGACTAATATAACAGAAATAATAACATGCCTGAAAACATAAGAAAACAATAGTTTTTATGGAAAAAAACATGAAATGCAGCTAATCATTATGCTGTATTCCTGGAGATAAATATCAGACAGATTCTGTCTTTCAAACAGTAATAAAAGATTGCTTTTTTTCAAGCAACTGCATGATGGCAAAATATATTGAAAACCTGGGAGCTTCAAGATGCCATCTTGATTAAACATATGGAACACATAGTAAATGAAAAGCCCAGTAGAGTTGAAATTGAATAATCAAAACACTCAAGTTGAGAAGGGTTAACATGCAAGGATCAGATCTAAACTTTGAAGTTCTCTAGTCTTCATTTTTCCTAATTAAAATGAGATTTAATAATCAAACCACTGCACAAACTATATAGTTAAACTTCAGATTGTGTTTCTAATTTGATTGGGAATTTAAAGAACATGGAATAGGAATGGAAGGCAACCTAAAGAATCTGCAGCTCACGGGGGAAAAATTACCTAGTGAGATGGATGTAACATATTTTGAAATTATTTTTGACATATGATTATATCTACTATCAAAATTAGTGAAAAACATTGTACTCAGGAGTTCTAGAATAAATTCCTACGAAAATAAACATATGAAGTAGATGTATAAAATACATTAAAATATTCTATCATTCTAATATAACATAAAATGATCATACAACAGATAAATGATGATATGAATAATTATATTCTGATCATTAAGTACTTAGATTCTTTTTAATTGTAACAAAAATTATATAGGCCTAAAATGCAATGCCAATAAGTTCCTACATTTTAGAAGGGCAATACTTACTAATTTAAAGATTTCAGTTTTGTGCCATGTTGTTGTAAATTAAAATAACTGTTTCCATTGTGTAACATTATGCATAATTGCCTGTTTAGAAAATATATAGACTATGTATGAACTATCAATTATCAACTATAAATTAGCCTTGGATTTCATGCTGCTATTCCCATTCTCCCTTCCATATATTCCCTTGCATGCATGGATATAAAGCAGAATTCTCCCACTAATGTGATTTGAAATCCTGGCTTGTTCCAATACTTATAACTGTAATTTTCTAGTTTAGATGAAATAGAAAGTTATGGTTAATTAAGTTCTTCTCTGCTTTCAAAAGCACTTGCAGACAGAAAAGTGAGGTTGCAGAAAAGATGTGTTAATATTTTTATTCATTAAGCCACGATACTGTTGTATAAATCACACTCACAGAAATACTTGGCAATATTTTTTTTAAAAATTGTGTAAAAGCACCCCTACTGTAAACTGAACTTATACCTAGCTATTTTTTTGTTCTGAATATATGTATATTATGCATATTTCTATATCTGTTATGTACTGCAATCAAATAAAAACTTACTTTGTTCATGTGAATTTGCTGCTGATACTGTTTCTGCTTCTCCAGAAACTGCTGATGCTGATGTTGAATGACAAGTTGAGCCAAAGTGCTTTGGGGGAGGGGAGCAGACTGAGTTCTGTTTAGTGGCCTGTGTCGAGGTAACTTATGTGCAGCTCTTAGGCTAGGTGAGATTCTTTCGTTTGTTGCCAATGGTGACTGTGGATGAAGAGGCCCTGTACCTGCAGGTCAACAATATAACTCTCATCAAAAAAAAAAGCCAATGAAAAGTATTTATTTATTTATTTATGAGACTTATATACCGCTTTAAGTGCAAGCACTCTCTAAGCGGTGTACACCAGTGAGCAATGTATATATATATTTACATTGCCCCCAACAATCTTGGTCCTCATTTTACCTACCCCGGAAGGATGGAAGGCTGAGTCAACCTTGAGCCGGTGAGATTTGAACCGCTGACCTGCTGAACACAGTCAGCTAAAGTGGTCTGCAGTACTGCACTCTAACTGCTGCGCCACCTCGGTAAGACTATCATTACCATTTTTTTTTATAAAATTGAGCTAATTGAATATAGAATTAGGCATGTGTGATTTTTGAATCACCAATGTACATTCTTTTTCAAACTGAAGAGACAATTCACTGCAAACATCAAACTGAATTTAGTACCTGCAATTTGATTTATCATTGAGACTGTACATTTGCATAAAATGGTCCATAAATCTGGATGTCCAAATTAAATGAATAAAACCAACAAGACAATACAATAATTTGGACAGTCTAAATAAAACTAGGACCAATTTATCTAAAGTAGAAAATAGCAATTTATGAATTTGGTATTAAGATTTCTGTTTTTTTAAAGTAACATTTAATATAGTATAAATTAGAAATGATAGAAATGTTTACACAGTGATTACATTAATATTTTAAACAATTCAGATTATAAAAGTTAATGAGTTTGATGAAATCAGAATCCTGTGGATAAAATGTAAAAACTTCATACTTCTATTTTTTGTATCTTTTCTAAAAGATTGTAATAACCAGTCCACTGATCCTGGTAATTAATATATGTTCCAGATTATCTGGAGATTGTTTTTTGGCTTGGGGATATATATATATTTACTTCTATTTTGTGCCTAAAACTGGGAAAAAATATACACTTGGGAAGAAACTAGGCCACTTGTGTCAGAGTGTGTTTTAGGGGCAACATAAAAGCAATTTAAGGTTTGCAGGTGAACTCTTAACTGAAGATTATTTATCCTTGAGACAGCAGATATTGGGTTAGTTCAAGGCAACTTCCTATTTTTATCTACAGTTGAATTTTTCATTACAAATAAAGTCTTTTTCCAATAATTCTTTCATAATTACCTATGGGTAGAAGTTTTTGCTGCCTCATTTTCTCCTTCAATAACAAATGTTGCAAGATAGCCTGATGGCTATAGTTTGGTTTTCCCTCTGGAACAATGGGCTGAGGACTTGAAAGTGAACTGATAGTCCCCCTGGGCTGACTAGACATGGCCACTCCTTGCTTGATTAACTGCATTTCATTCTTTTGTTTTTCTGCAAATGGTGACGGCACCTACAGAGCAAATGAAGACAACGTTAAAAAAGAAAACTTCCAAATTACACATTTAAAAACTGAACAAAGCAGTTTTAAAAACTTCATTATTCCCACAGCATAAGCTAAGGTTTAATACAGAGATATGGCAGGTAAAACAGGCATATTCAGCCCTTATTGTAATTTAGCATTTCATATTTGTATCAATTTCCCAAATTTACTTATTGTCAGACAAAGAAGTTGGTAAAAGATAAATATAAAAAGTGGGATCCAAAAGAATTAAATTGCCTTTGGGTATACATAAGTTGAAAATTAATAGATCTATGATAATTTGTTTCTTTACTTGAAATAACAACAAAATTATTGAGGAAAAATGTAAAATAAAGACTCTCTATTTCAAATATATATATGAAATCATTCTGTATTATTTTAACTCTGCCTTGAAATAACGCCTTGAGAGTATACTAACACATCTTAATTAAAGTCAGCAAAAATACTCCTAAACCAGTCACTTACTGTGAGTGCTGGTTGTACTGCTGGGAGTCCTAAAGTGATGTTAGGTAAAGAAGGAGATGCATAGATATTCAGAAGGTTCATTGATTCTTCATTGATGAGAATGCAATGTTGTGGAACCATATCCTGTGGAAATTTTTTTTTAAAAAGAAGATCATGTTTGGCTAGCCAAAAATATTTCTATGTCTTTGTTGAACAAACAAGAGGAAATGCTTTTTCTTTCACACTAGTAGTATTCCATTGAAATCCTGATAATGAAAAACTTCAAGAATACAATTTCACAATTATGACTAATAATTTCAAGCCATTAGAACATGGAATGGAGAATTAATTCACAGCCTACTTGAAACTCAGAGTTAATCTCCGGTATATCTGGACTGTAATAGTTTAATAGGTTAATCTTCAAATTACTTTTTGTTCATTCATTTGCATGGCACAGCAAAACTCAGCAGAATTGCCAAGTATTTTGTTGGCACCTGGTATGCTGGATGTGGTTGGGAGATAATAAATACTGCAAGCCTGACATCTGGGAATTGCCACTTCTTCATCTATAACAGTAACACTATGTATCTAAGCTTATATATTGTGCATTGGTTATTTGGTTCCAATTCATCCCACAGGGCTCGTAAAGTGTATGGCTCCTTAATTTCAGATATCATCCAAAATATTGAAATTAGATAAATTATTACTATTTTTCTTCCTATATATCTAAGATAATATAACATGCCTTTTCATGATTTAACACAATATTTACTATATTTAAATAGTTTCTAAGTAATTAGTCACTCTACATCAGATAAAACATGAAACTTGCTTTTCTGACGGTTATTGCATTTTCTTAATGAAAATGTTAGTTTTACCCTTTCCTTCTCTGATATTCATGTTCTTCAACATGTGGTCAATGATACCTTCTAGAATTACCTTTTTTTGTTGTTATTGTTTAACTCTTTCCTCCCTCCCAGATTTTTTTACACAATAAGAACTGCAAAAGGTCTTACTGGACTCTGGAACTCTGGCATGATATGGTCCTCAGGGGAACAACATCCTTGAAAAAGAATACTCTCTGTAACAGTATGACACAGTGACTGCTTTCTTCCCAAACAAAAAGCATATGGCACTCCAATAATAGACCACCTCTATGAGGGATCCTGTGCACTCAAGCTTTGACTAAAATAAATATAATAACTTGTCAAGCATGTTGTGTGGAGCTGTAGATTTTCCTCTGGACAAACCTGGGATATCAATTAACGCTGGAAAATACCTAGAGTTAATACAATGCAACCTCAGACCATCAGTAAAGAGTTGAACAGCACAAAAACACAGGATGTTATTCCAAAACATAACCTTCCTATAGAGTTTGTTTGGAGACTAAACCTATCACTGACATCATAAAGAAATTATCTATATAGGTCATTCATTAAAATTGTACTGAAAACATGCAGCAGTGTAAAATATTTTAGTCATGTTCACGTGAAAATAAAATAGAATAACATTTTTTGTGAAATGTTGTTTATATTTTATAGATGTTGCAAGCCTGCAAGTGTATATTAGCTTTTGAACTGTTTTTTACTTAAAACATTGTGTAATGAATATTTTAATCTATATTTCTTTACAGTTCACAACAATTGATGCATATACTTTTACACATATTATTTAATATATTTTTAAATGCTAAATCTTAGAAATATATGATTAATGATATTTAAAACTAAGCTTTAAAGCTTGCATGTATCATTAAACTGTATCATTAAAATCATTTTTATCAATAAAAATACACTTGATACTATTCAATTTGTATGTATTTAATTCAAAAGAAATCATTGTTTCCCACCAGTAATGGTTCATAATAGCTATTCTGAAATGGTGTAAAGAGCAGCACAGCAACATCTAGTGGAATAAATGGTTATTCTCTGTGGTCAGTCCAGGAAATGTCACACAACTTAGTTAATACAGATCAGAAGAAGCCACAAAATGTCAGGCCCAATGAGAATATTCTGTACAGGGAAGAACTTCAGACTAATTACTATTACATGTATTTTTAGGTAAGGGTTGTGGCTCCATGGTAAAGCACATACTGATTCAAAATATCCCAAGTTTAATCCCCACCATACTTATGTAGGGCATGGAAATATTTATGATGGGATCCTTGAATATGTGTTGTTAGTTGCGAAGTCATGTCCGACCTATCGCGACCCCATGGACAAAGTTCCTCCAGGCCTTTCTGTCCATTACCATCTTCTGGAGTCTACTGCTCCATGTGACTCCATCCAGCCACCTCATTCTCTGTCGTCCCATTCTTCTATTGCCCTCAATCTTTCCCAGCATTAGGCTCTTCTCCAGTGAGTCCTTCCTTCTCATTAGGTGGCTAAAGTACTTGAGTTTCAACTTCAGGATCTGGCCTTCTAAAGGGCAGTCAGGGTTGATCTCCTCTAGGACTGACTGGTTTGATCACCTTGCAGTCCAGGGGACTTGCAGGAATCTTCTCCACCAGCATAGTTCAAAGGCCTCAATTCTTTGGTGCTCAGCCTTTCTTATGGTCCAACTTTCACAGCCATACATTGCAACTGGGAAAACCATGGCCTTGACTATACGTACTTTTGTTCTCTCTGCTTTTTAGTATGTTGTATTAGATTTGCCATAGCTTTTCTCCCCAGGAGCAAGCGTCTTTTAATTTCTTGACTAAAGTCCCCATCTGTGGTGATCTTGGAGCCCAAGATAAAATCTGTCACTGTCTCCATTTCTTCCCCATCTACCGTACTTTCCGGTGTATAAGACGACTTTCGCAAGTGTTAAAATTGGCACCGAAGTCGGGAGTCGTCTTATACGCCAGAAATTATAGTAGTTTCTGGCGAATAAGACGACTTTCTAGGCATGTGGCTTGGCGCTGAAGATGGGGGTCGTCTTATATGCCGGGTCACCTTATATGCCAGAATATACGGTATTTGCCAGGAATTGAGAGGGCTGAATGCCATGATCTTGGTTTTCTTAATGTTGAGTTTCAAGACAACTTTTGCACTCTCCCTCTTCACCCGCATCGCTTTCTGCCATTAGAGTGGTATTGTCTGCATATCTTAGGTTGTTAATATTTCTCCCAGCAATCTTAATTCTAACTTTTGATTCATCTAGCCCTGCCTTTTTCATGATGTGCTCTGCATATAAGTTAAATAGGCAGGGTGACAGAATACAGCCTTGCCGGACTCCTTTCCCAATTTTGAACCAATCAGTGGCTCCGTGTCCAGTTCTCACTGTTACTTCTTGACCCACATATAGGTTTCTCAAGAGACAAATAAGATGGTCTGGTACTCCTATCGCTTTAAGAACTTGCCACAATTTGTTGTGATCCACACAATGAAAGGATTTAGCATAGTCAATGAAGCAGAAGTAGATGTTTTTCTGGAACTCCCTAGCTTTCTCCATGATCCAGCATATGTTGGCAATTTGATCTCTAGTTCCTCTGCCTCTTCGAAATCCTGCCTGTACTTGAATACTACTGTTTCTCAATAAAAATAATAATAAAATGGGTCAATTATTTGGCTTGATATATATAGAACCTTCTTTTATTTCCATCTGATATGATTTACATTGCCAAGTCAGATTCTCCCACAAGTTTTAACCATGGACTCATGACTGGATGTTTATCCTCTACACATAACATATATGGCCTATGGCATAGGTGTCAAACTCGCCATGTCATGTAACGTATTGCAATGTATCATGCCTTTTTTTGCATTGCTGGAGCTGGGGTGGGCGCAGCCTCTATATGATGCAACTGGCCCACGGGCCGGCAGTTTGACACCCCTGGCATATGGTGAAAACTTTTAAAAAGTTTTTTTCTTGATGTACATACTATCTTCCTGATCTTAGAGGAGTTGCCATTAAAAAAATAAATCTAAGATGAAATTCTTATGCAGTTCTTAATTTAAAAAAACCCCACATAATTAGCTACAACAAACAAACAGAATACTTCAATAAAATCTGTTGTTTCTCTAGTTGCATTTAAATATTGAAGCATTTTCTATTTGGGGACCTGAAATGGAAGGCTATATAAAACAGATACCAAAATCCAAGGGAATTAGGATTGTTGTACTGCAAGATTTAAAATAACCAGTTTGTTCTAAAAAGTCAAGCACTTTGAGACCAGTTTCTTCTCAATTAGTGAGGCCATTGAAGACATATGGTTAGGATACATGGGTCTAGATATACTTTTTACAACTTCTCTATAGAACATTCCCTAGTTCCCCGAGTGTTCTCAGTACAATTGTAAACAGATAGGATGTTTTAATTATAGTAAATAGCTACATATTTAAATAAGTATAACTCTGATCTATAGAGATTATATAACATATAATATTACAAAATTATATAAAATATAATAATAGAACATTGGGGTAAGATTAGACAAGAATTGATTTTTCTATTTATAGGCATTTCTACAATCAGAATAATTTAATGATGTGGATACATGCACCTACACCAGAACTGTGAGAGTTATTTCTATTATCATAAACAATTATGTTTCTGCAACTTATTTTATAATATGCATATTTTGGATAGTCAATTGAAAAAAACAGCACTTCCACTTGAAATAAATAAATGCTAAAAAACCCTAATTTCACTTTGTTTAAAATGAAACTGAAACTGATATAATCCAACTATCCTAACACAATATATGAATAAACAGATTGAAAATATTTCCATACAACCAATATATATTTAAAACACAATGGAAAAATCTTTATATTAAAGCAGATCCCTTGCTGAATAGATGTTACTCTTCTCTTACCTCTTACCTCTTACTTCTTCAGCAGCAGGTATATAATATTTTACATCAAAATCCTTTTTTATAGGTATCACAGATCTTCTGCATGCACATCATATGTTTTAGCCATTAAATGATGGCCTTATTCCCTAATTAAGATTTCAACAGCAGAATAAATAATACAATATAATATAATAATAAATTAGTTTGTTTTAATATTCACCCAAAATATTCTTTTTAAAATCTGCAAACATGTTTTCCCCTACTGCAATATGTTTTAAAAGACATTTAAAACTAGATTATGAGAACCTATTTCTTAATTATAGTGGACAAAGTCTCTTCCATTTTATTGCTTAATATGATGAAGCATATAGCAGAATCTTTTCAGAAGGCATTAGTGCTGAAGAATTAACAGATGATGCAGCATTATTTTCTTATCTGAATTAAACTTTCTGTGTTGAAAGTACTGCTGTATGGATTAGTGTATTTTGAGATTCTATATTTTTAACTTCCTGGAATCTTATGAAGAGCTTTATGACTCAAAAACACCACATGTTAACTATCAATGTAACCTTTTAGGGAAGCGGATTGTTCTGGGCCAAAAAGAAGCTACTTATCAGTGTGAAGAGGTCACACGCCTGGCCTTGGATCAGAGTTCACACATACAATTAATTCGTTATTAGAAAAAGTCACTGTTGGAGACTGAACTGGGCTTCACAGTCTTCAGAGGTTAGTGTCCTGCCAATGACCTGAAGAATTATCCCTTTAGCTTTCTATCTGACAAATTACTTTCCCTTATGCTATTTTTTTCCATCAAAAGATTTCACAGGTTGCAATCTTGCAAATGTTTTTCCATTTCTTCATTTTTTATTGAATTTAGTAGAAATCAACATAATGCAAGATATGCAAATTGCATGCTAAACAATAGATTTTACAGGAAAATAGTTTTTTAAATTAAGTTTTTATAAATTTCTTTGATGTATGAATCCAAGTCCAGAATGCAGCTAAATACAATTATAATTAATACAATCATATATTTAAGAATTATTTTAAATAGTTTGCCTGATGGTTAACAAAAATATATCAGCTTCCCAATTCTTATCACGTGTCTGCCTATTCTTTTTAATGGAAATATTAGGCATTTATTTTACAATCTTCTGCATACAAAGAGGTGTTTTATCAATACAGAAAATACCTCCATGCCAATGAGGCTTAGGTATCCCCCTTTAATTTCACTCATAGAAGAATTTGGTAATCCCCATCCATTTAGCAGAATGGGAAATGTCACTAGATTGCTTTGTTGTTAGCATAACATTTAATTTTTGAAAAAAAGATGTAAATTTATTTTTTGATAATTTAATTTACATGAGAAGGAATATATGAATGCATGCAACAGATCTCAGGTTCAATTCACAGTATTTTCCAAATTTTGAGGGAAGTTTCTAATATTTACAGATAATTCTAATAAAAAGAATAAAGCACATCAAATTGAACTTTTGCCTTCTGATCAACATTTGATGCATGTAGTATCAAGTACTTTCTGATTCTCTCTTTCTCATTCTAGTTTTACATTTGTAAAAGCTACAGAGCAAGAATCTGCTTCAAAGGGGAGTTAAAAAGAGTTCCATTAGCTTTACAGAGCAACTTACAACTCTATTCTTTTCTCCCAGCAAAGGATATTGATAATTCCAAATTACCTTAAATTATTCAACCAACATTTGATAGTCCAGTTGCTAATAAACATCTTTCATCCTAATTGCACACAAACAACTATAGAAATGTGGTTGATTGGGGGGGGGGGATGAAAAGGCTACCTCAGTGGCCATATCTAAACTGTCCCTTCCCTAAAAGGCTAGATTAGCATAGTAGTTGGCCTTTCATCAGTTCTTTAAGATCTTATTTAGGATTATATGCAATGTAAATTTAATTTGAAAGTTGATTTTATTCTACCAACTGAACCTGCATAGTTTGTAATAAAGCATTTTTTCTAACCACTCTTTTGGGGAGTGGAAAATGATAATATGTTACTAGATATCTTGAACAGTATCTAAATATTATGGGATATAATATTCAAATAAATAAACATTAACTTTTTACCAGACAAATATCGAAGTTTTTACTGAACACTGGGGATGTACAAAACTTGTTTGAGTAATGAAATACAATTCATAAGAGTGAAATAATTGGCAAATGTAGGGTATATGCAAGAAACTTGTGCCAACATTATCAAGTAGGATATAACCTCAGGAAACAAATGAACCTTTATTGCATGCTGGTCAAGAAAGCTAATAAATACTATGTTGATTCTGAATTAAGCTGAGAGAATAGACTGAAACATGTAATGTAATACTGAATTTGAATGTAAATTATTAACTGTACAACATATTTTGAGACCTATAAATGAATATCAGGAAAAATATTATGATTTGTTAGTGAAAATTATAATGTAATGGGAGTTTTTTTTCATAATTATTTTATATAAAGGAACTGGCAGACTACATTTCAAAATAAATCTACTATTAAGCTAACTTTCCAAAGAAGCAAATAAATTATTTTCCTGTTCTCAAATAAACATTGCTTGATCACTCTGCACTTGACCAGACAATTCAGTAAAATAAAATAAAATAACCTAAACTGTTTAAATCAAAGTTATTTAGATTGTACATGTCTACATCTGAATATATATTGTTATGTTTTCCAGGTAAGCTTCTAAAAATGTATATGTTTTAAGACATGAGAATCAAGGAATATATATTCTTTAATAAGTTTCTAGTCAATTGTGACTTATCTTTGTATCAGAAATATTTTATTACAATATACCATCATATTATTCAGAATATCAGTAAAATTGTTTAAAACTGATCATGTGCTTGTATACATAATTAAATGTTTACAACCTTGGATTTTAAATTTCTGGAAAATTTTCAGTTTCATTTTTCTCCCATCATGTCAATGTTTAGAGAAAAGCAACAGAGTATATCTGAGGCTAAAAGATGTTTATTTTAATAATTAAAGGAAGACTGTTTTGACCATCTCAATATTTTAGATATTAATTTTTACACACGTATCTGCCCCCAGACTATAGGACAGCTTTCGAGCAGTTAGCAGCATCAAAACCAGAAGATGGCAATCCTAGGGAGTTGCTAAGGGATATAATTGTTCTCCTGTGCTTGAATATTCAATAAGCATTTGCCACTACTTCACTCTAGAAATTATGGAAAATCATGCTAGTGATTACCTGGATTGATTTCTCTGAAGATTCACCACTGATTTTCTTATTATCTATCAATAAGATCATTTACCTACATTTAAATATTGGACAAGGAGTCCACAGATATCCAGCAAAAGGCATTATCCATCCATTCACACATACATACATGTTCTTCCAATCATGTTTGACTTTCTGATACTTATACTTACAAAACAGCAATAAGATTAAAAATTAAAACACAAGAATTAAACAATTTAGTTTTCCCAAGTCCCAAGAAACAATCATAACCTATATATACAATCACTTCCCTAGGAGGGTAGAAACAACCCTTCAGATCCAAAATTTGATCCACTGAAAAAAATCAGATCTTAATGGAAAATTACAAATGAATGTATGTAATTACAAATCCAGGTAGTTCTTGATTTACAACTTCATTTAGTGACTATTCAAAGTTATAACAGCCATAAATGACTTATGACCACTTTCACACTTACGACCATTGCAGCATCCCTATCAAAATTCAGAACCTTGGCAACTGGTTCATATTATTGACAGTTGCAATATCCTATGTTCATGTGATCACCTTTTTTGATCTTCTGAGAAACAAAGTCAATGGAGAAGCCAGGTTCATTCAGCAACTTTGTTATTAATTTAACAACTGTGGTGATTCACTTAAAAACTGTGACAAGAAAGGTCGTAAAATGGGGTAAAAATCATTTAACAAATGTCTCACTTAACAACAGAAATTTTGAGCTTAATTGTGGTCGTAAGTCAAGAACTTCCTGTGCAATTGAAGCCACTGTTAGATTGGAGGGAGTGCTGTTCCAAAGAGGAGTGGGAGGCCAGTTGAGAACATCCAAACTTGAGATCTCTGAACATGACACTGGCTAAAGCTAGCAACCCAGAGAGAACTTTATTTTGCAGATTTAAAAGGATAGGCAGAATGGACTGGAAAAACCACAAAGGATTTTAAAAGTGACAATCACTTCCCTGAATTGCATCCAGAAACAAAATTATAATCTGTGCAGTTCTCAATGGATGGATGTTACATGATAAATCACCTGGTACCTATAACTACTTAAGTACTGCATTTTGGACTGGTTGCAGTTTTTGTTATTTTAAGATTAGTGCAGTAATCCAAATACCAGATACATAAAACAATTATTTTCTTACCTCAGCTTGGGAATTCAATGGCAATACTGATGTTTCATTTTCTGTATTTCTTGTAGGACCATTACATGGTGAACTAGGACCTGATCCTGGAGAACTGCTACCAACTGATGGTTCTAGAATGTTGGTAAAAGAAATAAATCTAAGTAGGATTGGTAATCAGAAAGTTTCAACTACAACAGAAAATAAGTTGCCCACACAATGTATTCTTTTATTCATGTTATAATTTGTCTTTACCTCATAATGTTTCCATTGCATAAAAACCCACAATTTATTACTTGAGCAATATTTTTCTCCTTCCAAGATGGGCAAGTTTCTCAGTGGTAGGCAAAATACTAAAAAAAAGTTTCTAATGAGTAAAGGAAAAGGAAGTACCTTTGGCTGCATTCTCTGCTGCCTCTGTAAGAGACCAGCATGATAGAGATACTGGACTCCCAAAGGTCAAGATAACATGTCATCAATTCATGAGGCCTGCTGCCATTCCTAGGCTGTTTGGATAAACCCCTGGAGGACTCAGTTGTGAACTGGCCTTTATATGAGCAACTAATAAAAAACAATACCTCATTTGCAGTTCAGTCAGTGAATTCTAAGGGAAAAACCGGAATTTTCAAAACCTTAATATAGTATCTTAATGATTTTATCATACTTTATTTTACTGCTGTTTTAAGATTACATAGTAAGGTAAAACAATATACCACTGTTGAAAAATAGATTAAAAAGCCTATTAAAACTTTTAATGTAGACAAAGAAAATATATTTTATGAACTGATCAAAAGAATCTATCTATCTATCTATCTATATACGCACACACCACACACACACACACACACACACACACACATATCAATGTAGAATGGTATGATTATATATACTATTCATCATGCAAACATAAAATGCCATTTTTTAAATAAAAAGTAAATAAACAGATGGCTCATAAGTATTGTCTTGATGCTAATAACCAAAAGACACACAATATCATTTGGTTTCTTTAAATTAGTTATTTACTAAGGCTATGACTGAAATTATTGAGAATTGCTTTAGATCTCGTGCAAGCACAAACATGGTACCTCTCTGCTATTCATTAAAAGAATCTGATCTTTTTCACAAACTATAAAATAAAGATGCTATTTTTAAAAATAAACCATTAATTAAAGTGATTTTAGTATCACAATCTTCTTCAAGCCTTGCATGGAATCTTGGAAAAGTTTGGCCGTTTTTAACATATAGCTGAAGGTACCATGGTTCATCTTTACATAAGATATAAAACATTTATTGTGAATAACTTTTCTAAATCATTTTTCAAAAGTGTACAATTCCTAGGATTTACTCTAATTTTAAAGGTATCTTCCAAATAATGATCCTTATTAAAAGAAACCAGTGGCAGAAATAATGTAATGTAATGTAATGTAATGTAATGTAGTGTAGTGTAGTGTAGTGTAGTGTAGTGTAATGTAATGTAATGTAATGTAATATAATATAATATAATATAATATAATATGAACTAATAGGACCATGAAATAGAGAAAGTAAAAGAAAATGAAGAAGCTAAATTGCTTCAGAACTTTAGAATTCAAATAGTCAGGCACCTGCCACATAACACTAAGACTTTACAACTGTCAATAAGAAAGACAAAAAAAGTCTGGATAGTGAATATGGCAATAGCTGGACAAAGCAGAATAGAAGAGAAAGAACTGGAGAAGATAACAAAATACAAAGATCTGCAAATAGAAATAGAATGACTGTGACAAAAGAAAGGTAGTACCAATACCTTTGAGTGAAATCCTGAGTCAACTGGAGCACCACATGAACACCACTGGATTGACAAAATCATCATCAGTCAATTGCAAAAGGCAGCTTTACTTGGAAAAACTTATATTCTGAGATAATATCTTTAATCACATCAAACGTCAACATTTGCCTATCCTAAGTCCTTGGGAAGAGCTTAACAGGTGAATAAAAATGCCAAATCCAGTCTGGATATTTGGCTGACTATGTAATAAACTATAATAATAATAATTAGACATGATATTTCTAGTTCATTACCTGTCATCTCAAATAATCTTTTCTTGAATGAGCAGACCACTGTTCCATCCTTCCTTCTGAGTAAAGGGCTTCTTCTTCTTTCTGTTACTTTTTGTTTTAACTTGGAGCGAACTTTCAAATTGGGTTCAGAGGCTGAGAATAAGATCACAAAATCTATCATTACTGATTACAAGCTTCCTTTTTGGACCTGTTGCCTTTCCAGGTTTGCATAATTAGCCTACAACCTTCAGCTTAATAACATGGCAATTGAACAAGCTTATCTAACTGATTAAATAATAGTAGGTTCACATATAAATGTCTGAACCACTATTTGAAACAATGATTTATGTTATCTTTTTACATAAATGGCTTAATGCAATGAATGATAATTCACTTAGTTTGTATTTACTCATCTTATTTCTGGTTTGTTATTGTTTTCTGCTGAAGCCTCAATAAATCTACAAATACCAATTTTAAAAGAATAAACCACCAGAAAAATGCAAACAAGTCATGATTAGCTTGTTCTTCTGCAAAAATGTTGGCTTCTTGGACTCCTAATCATCTCTTTAAATCATAAATAGTAGAGTTTGATTTATGAATTCTACACATTTATATAAAACAAATGTGGTTAACATGTGGTATTTTTAATATTATTACTTGCAATTCCCTTCATCTCTCACATTTGCCATTTAGATAGGGCTGAGGGAAAATGGAATTTAAAATCTGGAAAGTCAAACACTGATACAAAATATTGTTCAAAACTATTTATTTTACTTTACTCATTTCTCAAATGTCCTGTGAAATGCACTGATGTTGTTTTACTATTATAGTTAAGTGAAAAAGTATATTTAAAGAATAGATCTTGTTCATGGCAATTATCACAACTGAACAACAAAAAACAGGATAAACCTAATATATGTATGCTTTTGGCTATGCTTTGATTGGCTGGGGGAGTGTTCTGTTTGGGTGGGGGCTTTGTTGTGCTCAGGTTAGTCTGAGTTGCAGGAGGATTTAAGATGGTGGGCTGCCTTGCTATTTTTTGGCTATCTTAAACCCTCCTGCAACTCAGACTAACCTGAGCACAACAAAGCCCCCACCCAAACAGAACACTCCCCCATCCAATCAGAGCATAGCCAACCCTCCATCCAATCAGAGCACAGCCAACCCCCCATCCAATCAGAGCACAGCCAAACCCTTAACCAATCAGAACACACCTCCACCCAATCAGAACACAGCCAAGCTCCCACCCAATCAGTTCATACCCCCACTGGCAGTTAAAAGGAAGAAACAGCTAAGACCACACATTGCTCCTCGAAGCACGAAGCTGAAAACACCAGCTTGAAGATGACGAATGGGACTTCGTTGAAACGTCGCCAAGATACTTCCAATTTTACACGGGAGAAAACCTGAATAACCAAAGACCTAGATACAAACACCCGCGAAAACCTTCAGAGATGGGACCTACAACATGTCTTCTCTCCCTGTTTACTGGATTGGCAGATTTAGTGATGGCAGTCTGAGAACATTCAGGTCCTAAACAATGGAGAGCTTTAAAAATAATAACCACACTCTGAATTCACTCCAATATTAATTGGCAAACGTTGCAGTTCTAGGAGTAGATTGGATAAATTTAGAGCCATGTATACATACAGATGGCTACAATCTGTAAAAGGGTAAACCTCCTTCAATGGACTTCAAGGAAGTTGCAAACCTCCAATGTTAAAGTAAGAAAAACAAGAGTGGCACTCATATGTGGAACATCATTCCCAGATTAGGTTAGCTCTGACCCTGCTGACCTTTCACAAGGTGCTAAGAACCTGAGATTTGTGCCTAGGCCTGGTGCTCCAAAAGTGGTAAGTCCATTTCCTGACTTGATAGTTGATAGCTATTTTATGAAGTTCAGCTTTCATGTGTTTTCAGTTTGTATTATGTGTTTTATTTGTTTTTATCTATTTTTATCTATTTTATGATTATGTGCAATGCATCCTAATTCAGGAAAAGACAAAAATGCTGCACAAGCTATAATTATGTGAAGGCTGTCCTTCCACCTATTATTCAAGAAGAAGTTTGAGTCCAGGAGAAACTCAAGATTGTGAATCAGCTCCATAGAGTAGACAACTCTAACATGTAGAGAACCATGACCTTGAAGGAAATAAGAACACTGGGCGAAACCTGGCTTAAAAACAGTAACTGTGAAAGGGACTTGAGTCCTAGTGGATGATCACTTGATTATGAGCCAGCAGTGTGCAGCAGCAACCAAAAAAGTTAATACAATCCTGGGTTGTATAAGCAGAGGCATAGAATCAAAGTATTAGTACCGCTTTATAGAACCCTAGTAAGACCACACCTGGAATACTGCAGTCAGTTTTGGTCACCATATCACAAAAAAGATGTTGAGAGTTGGAAAAAAATCAGAGAAGAGTAACAAAGATGATCAAAGGTCTGGAGACTAAAATATACGAAGAATGGCTATGGGACTTGGGTTTCGCTAGTCTAAAGAAAAGAAGAAATAGGGAAGACATGATAGCTGTGTTCCAGTATCTGAGGGGCTGCCACAAGGCAGAAGGGGCCAGGTTGTTCACCAAAACACCAGAGGGAAGGACGAGAAACAATGATTGGAAACTGATCAAAGAGAGAAGCAACCTGGAATTAGGAAGAAACTTTCTGACAGTAAGGACAATCAACCAATGGAACAGCTTACCTCCAGAAATCGTGGGTGCTCCATCACTGGAGATTTTTTAAGAAGAGACTAGACATTCAACTGTCTGAGACGGTATAGTTCTCCTGCTTGAGCAGGGGGCTGGACTAGAAGACCTCCAAGGTCCTTCCAGCTCTATTCTATTCTATTCAAGCTAAAAGATTCATTAAGTTCTGAGAAACAAGAATTATTCAATGTAATATAAGAGGTGGAGGTGAAACGCAATCAGAGTTACAAAATTCAGTTACTATATTATCTCAATAAAGTATAGTTCTAGGCTTATAAAAACTTGATATCCTGATCTGCTTTATTCCAATGGGCTGACATCAATCTTGCAAGACTTATTGTGCTTTACCTCCTCTCCCTTTTACCTTATTTATTCCATTATTCAATTTCTATAGCTATCCATCTCAGACTAATGACTCTAGGTGACTTACAATTCTAAAATCATAAAACAATTAAAAATAATAAATTATCATAAAAATAAATACATGTAACAGCTGAGTTATAAGCAATTAATAGGAAAGCCAAGAAGTGGAGCCTCTAACACATTCTAGGCCTATATACATATACAATTTTTTAAAGTCTTATGAAAGGCTAAAGTGCTGGGATCATTATAATCTCCAATGGAAGAATATTCCACAAAGTAGGATCTATGGCAGAGAAGGACCATCTTTTAGTTCCCACCAGTCAACTCTCTGGATGATCTGCTGCATGTCCAATCTTCTGGATTGAATTGGGTGGATAAAGATGGTTCCTCAGGTAACATAATCTCAAACCATGCAGGGCTTTAAAGATGATAACCAGCACCTTGAATTGCACCCAGAAACACAGCCTTTGCAGCTCACTTAGTAATGGTGTTACATTTGCTATATATTCAGTATTATTTACTACCCACACATTCTGCACCATTTATATCTAAATGAATCAGGAGGATCCTACCTGAATATCTTCCAAACACTACCTTTCCTCAAGATGATCTCCTTGATTCTCCACATAACCTACAGATGGAACATATTCAGACTTATAAGTCCTTTGGATTCACAACTATTCCAGCCTATTAGTGTTCAGTGTAGGTGTGGACCTCGATATCTTCAGCATACTGATGTTACCTCAATCTGTATCAATTAATGGCCTAATCCAGCAGCTTCATGTAAATGTTGAATAGCAACCTTAATAATGGAAAATCTGAGCATGTGACCTCTTCCCAGACACTTCTTGTTTCTCCAGATACATACTGTTTGCTGTTGGCTACTCAGGAAGAATAACTACTGTAAAACGATGTCCCACATTTCCAACCCTGAAAGAGGTCCAGATACCATGGCCAAAAGTTCAACAAAAACCAGGACAGTCACACTTCTCCATTTCAGCTTTGCCAGAGATAATGCTGCAGAGCAACCATAGCTATAGAATCTCAACTAATATGGCAATAGATAATCCATCCTCTCCAGAAATCTCTATAGTTGCAAGACCACCACCTTTCCTAAAAAATATAGTTTGACTCCAGAACATAAAAATCTAAAATATGTGGGTTTCTTAAGGAAAATTGGGACTGTCTTGGAAGATGACTTGGAAAATTCCAAGTCATCTTCAGTACAGAATACAGTAACCAACTGTTAATGGGTTAGAGCCATTTAGTTGGTTTACCTCACTCTTGTTGGCACTGTGTTGGGTACTTTTTCCAGGTCAAATTTGAATGTTATTTTTCACATATAAAACAGCACACTGAGTTCACATTTCCTCCAGTACCATCTGGTCTGAATAGAATTTTCCCATTTAGTGTGGCCTACTCAGGAGTTGCTCCACATTCCCATCTTCAGGAAACTAGAAATATGGAAGAAAGAAGCAAGCATTTTCCAACCCTGTTCTAGTCCTGTGGAAAGTCTGGCATCTAATGTTTGGAGAGATCTCATTCTCCTACCATTTAGAAAGGCAACAAAGACTAAATTCTTTCATCATTCCTGGGGAGGCAATGTGGCGGCAATTGAATTTGCTTATTATCTGTGGTTTAAGATCTTTTGATAATAATAAATATTTTTGTTTCAATTGCAATAATAAAAAATAATAAAATAAGTAAATTGTTTTGAGTCTAATCACCTGGCAAGATAAGCAAACAAATAAATATAATGACCTTGACATTGTGATGCATTTGTTTGTACTCATTATATACTTAATGTATTTTTTACATGGGATTGCTTTTTTGTCCAGACGAAAAACTCCAGTTGGTATGAAAGTAAGCAGTCAGATTTGTCTTAAGAACAAGATAAAGAAGCTATATTATATTCCTGCTTAAAGTAGTGTGTTGATAACCAATTGATTTTTAGGCAAAAAACAAAATCCTGGTCATTATTACTCTGCAGAGATCCAGATTATTTCACCGAATGCCTCTTGCTGCATGAATTTCAATACTTAACAGCATTTAAATATCCATGAACTTGTTTCATAATAATTCAGC